AAAAATGCCCTCAGGATGCGGCAGCGACAGCAAACGACAAGCCAGGGCCACAGCAGCAGCACCAACAGTTGCTGCCGGGCTGGCGGGGCGCCTGTTTAACTGTCAGTTATCATTCACTCAAATGACAAAAATTGCCAGGCGAATGCGCGCTGAAACTGAACTGCAAAAGGAATGCGATTCGTTGCTGTTGCTGCTGTCTGTTGCTGCTGCAGATGCAAATGTTGCTGCTGAGTTACGAGCAGCGCTTGCGCTTAGAATGAGCGACAGACAACAAAGCGACATTTGAGACCAGGCACACAGGATGTGAGCTCTGGGTCTATAACATAACTCAGCGCGCACAATTAAAAACAACTACAACAGCAACAGCAGCAACTGTTGCAACTGCAACGCAACAGCAACAACTGTTGCTCACTCTTGCCGCAAGTTGTGCTCTTTCTCTCTCTCTCTCTCTCGCACACTTTCTCACACGCAGCGCAAATTTGAAATGAAATATTTTCGATGCTGCTGTCAACGCGAGTTCTGTTGACAACACATTAGCAACTGTTGCTGGCAACAGCAGCAGCAACATGTTGTTGCCACTGGACAGCGGACGTTGCGCATGCGCCGCACGATTTGCAATTTGCAGCTAATTGAACGCGTGCACTGCCACAGTTTGTACCTGAGATTTCTCTCTCCTTCTCTCTCTGTGTGCGTCTGTCTCACGCTTCCCCCGCTCCGACAAATGGGAAAAAGACACATAGAAAAAACAAATGCGACTTGAAACTGGACTTGAAATTGGTTTTGAATTCAATGAATTTCGACAGCGACTCAGCGGCCAACTCCAGAATTGCCAGCAACACAACCTGACCAACAACCAGTTTACAATTGCTGTTGTTGCTGTTGCTGCTGCTGGTGACAACGACAACAGCCCAAACAGTGGGAGGCTATGTGTGAATTAGAGCGTTCGAGCCAGCACTAGCCATAAATAGCTATAGAACTAAATGCGCGACAGCCATCGACAATCATCATAATAAGATATCGTATGATATAATCTATCTATTTCATATAACAATAACTTTATACATACAGATTTTTGTCCTGCTGTTTTGTTGTACTGAAATTAACTTTAATATTATGATTCTCATAACATTTAAACAGCGCTGGCTATTAAGATAGTACTTTATCCGTAAAGGAGTCGGGGGTTACGAATCCTGTTGCTCATTGTTCAGCGAAGTAAGAGAACTTATCTGCCTAACGCTACCAAATCTTGTAGAGACAGACTTGACAATTCTATTCTCCCACAGTTTAAGAACCAAAGTTCACGAGTTCGCTAGGTCTCCTTGTTGTAGGCAACCGCATTATAATAGATATCGTATTATAATTATAATTCCCAAATAGTTTAAACGTACGCCTACTTCTCTTGAAGCTCGTAAGCGAAAGGTAAAGCTACCTAATATGTAGTTTTTTCAAAAATTATTAAGAGTTAAGTGCCGAATCGGAAGGGGAGGAATAGAAGCGGCGAAATTTAATTTAGAATAGCCGAACTTTGCATAACTTCACTCGAGAAATAAAAGAAAATTAAGGAGGAGAGAGAGTTTAAAGAGATATAGCTAAGAATTATAAGCCTTAATACAGATAATATTGGAATAATGTGATCATAAGAGGTGAAATTAAGTTTAGGTAAGATAAATGCACCTTATTTTTCTCAAGATGACGATAAACAAATCGAGGGTGAGGGATAGCAAAAGAGAGATTTAAAAATTGTAAGCCTTGAAAGCGGAGTCGGCAAAGAAAATAATCTTTTCTTATATGCAGAATTCTTGATTTAGATAAGACTATAATTTCTATAGAAAGACTTTACTTTATAGAGATTCAAACTGACACAGAAATAGAAACGTTGCAAATAAAAAAAAATGTATGTAAATTTGAGAAATATGAATATAATCTAAACTTAATTAAAATGTTTGTATTAAACGTAAACCTTTTATGATCTTAGTGAAAATTATGAGTCTCGCTCTTTCTTAATCCCTCTCTCTCTCTCTCTCCTTAATTTGTTTTTTCTTCTTTCCTATTCGTCCGATGTTGCTTCTGTTTTCAGTTTGTGTTTTGATTTCGGCGTGCAGCTCTGTTGAGCCTCGTATTCCCAGCGCAGTGTCCATTTCAAGGTGCATGCAGCATGTTGCACTTGAGTGGGAGGGGAGCTGCTCATTATTATTGTTGTTGCTGCTGCTGCCGCAGTTGCTGCTGCTGCTGACTGTGGCCAAAAAAACAATCTGCAATATGTTTATGCATTTCTTGCGGTCGCTTTGGCGGCATTGGCTGACTTTGGCTACGACAATGGCGCTTTTGCCCGGCCACTGGAATGTGGCTCCATTAAATTGTGAGCCTAATACACGATTTGCTGGCTGCATTTGTTATTGTTGTTGTTGTAGCTACTGCTCTTGCTGCTACTGCTGCCGTTTTGTTTGTTGTCGCGCTGCATTAGCAATTTAATTGATTTGTAGGCAACAATTTGTCTGGCACCACAAGCCTTCGTATCTCAGCAGCCAGCAATCTGGCTCGTTGGCCTCCATTCGCCTGGCAGCAGGTTTTCAGTTTGTGTGTCATAAAATTTATAAATGCATAACATAGAACACATCAAGATCGCCCAGATCTCAGAGTCGGGGGTGTTTCATATCGCATGCTAAATCAAAAGACTTGCGACACAAACTTGGCAACATGGCGGCCCAACACGTAGCACAGCACACAAAAACAACAGAAGAGCAAAATGAAGAAAGGAGCTAAACGATAGTCGAATGGGAAATACCCTAACAGAGATACATGTGTGAGTGCCATAGAGAGAAAGAGAAAGAGAGAGAGAGAGAGAGAGAGAGAGAGAGAGAGAGAATTTATGTTTGAGCTTTAAAAAAATATATTTTTATCTATAGACACACAGACTATCACAAATTTAATTATTTAAATATATATATATATTAAGTTAGCCCAATCGACAGCTAAGTTCAGGGAGACAGACGACACAGATATTATTTATATTTACACATTTTATATGCATATTATTTTCTGACAAGTTTATGCCATACTTTAAGAGACAAAATCGAAATACCCCATTGTTGAGGCATAACAAGAAAGAGAAGAGTCCGCATACCGAAAGAGATGGCAACAGGTGGCAAGAACAAGAGCAGCCCTTTGGGTTTGGCTTGTTTGTTTTCCACATCGTTGGCTGCTCGCTGTTGCTGTTGTTGCTGCTGTTGCTGTTGTTGCTGCTGTTGCTGTTGTTGCTGCTGTTGCTGTTGTTGCTGCTGTTGCCCTGTTGGTTATTAGCAGCATTCAGCAGCTACACCCATTTAATTAGAGGCCTCTGCTGCTGCTGCTGCTTCACACAGCTGTCGCCCAGCAACCGCAACAACAACAACAACAACATTGGCAACTGCTGCGTCACTTAGCAGCCGGAACCGGCGGCCATTTTCAATAATGTTTGCATCATCCTGGCGCAAACGAGTGTCTGCAAGCTTCCCCGTTGGGCAGCAGCTTACCTTGGGCTTAAGCAAAGTCTACGATGGCTGTCAGAGCCAAAAACCAAAATCTAAAACTGGTTTATGGTTAATGGTTCGAGCGAAGAACCGAACCGATTTGTGGAGCAAGAAAAGCGAACCACATACAAAATTGTTTAAAACAAAAGCTTTTAAAGGCGACTCAGCTTAAGCCAAAACCTGGATTCACAGATGTGAAAAGCTCGACTCACGAACTGAAATTAAAGGCATGGAGTTCATTTGAACCGAATCACTGACCATATTTTTTGTTCATTTGCAGCCCTGGTTCGAGCCAATGCCTGCTCTTTGCATTCGCGTCGTGTTCTTAATCAAGTTCTTATTGAATAATTTATATTTAGTTTAAATATTTCTATTCGTTAGATATTTTAATGCTTCAATGATTCGTCAAATATTTTAATGCTTCGGTTCAGATTTGGTGAAAATGGTTCAAGGAGCGGTTCATAGCAAGAAGAACATTGGAATTCTGATAAAGAAACCATTAAGTACACCCACAATTACTTTTTATAAATTTAGTTTGATTCAAGTTCATTTTGCAAAGAGATTCAAAAGAACCAATTGTTTTCTCAAAAGTTGATTTGGTTCACGTTTAGATTTAACTTTTTATAGAAAAGTTTTCGGCTTAAGTTTTATTTTATAGTATAGAGAAAAATTGGAGTGCAGTATTGCTTTTTCCTTTCAAGTTTCCCGTCTAAGTTCCTATCTAACTCTGCCTCTACCCTGAGCTTTCATCGCATTAGCAGCAGTTTTTCAGCTGTTGACCACTGTTAGCTGCTCCCACTGTATGATTTATGCAGCAGGCAGTTATAGAAAGGTCGCTTCTTGTTTCTAGTATGCGACACCTGCGGCCCAGGCCAGGCCAGGCCAGGCCAGGCCAGGCTCCACAAACAGGTCGCTTTTGGAGCTCTTGTTACCAGACACCTCACGGATAACTTAATTAGGTTTTTCTGTCGAAAAGCGGCGCGAAAGGCAGCTAATGCGTTGCCACGCCCCTCTCCTGATGACCCAGTCAGCGAGAGAAAGAGAGAAGGTAAGAGAGGGAGAGGGCGAGATAGAGGAAGACGGCGAGAGAGAGAGTGAGGGATCAGCTTCTATATTAATGGGCGTCCCGCATAAATTTACACTGTTATATATATTTTTTGGGTTGCCCTGATGAAATCCCAGCTCAGCTGCAGCTCTCTTCCTCTCACTCTCGCGATCTCTTTCTCTGGCTTTGTAGCCTTAATTAGAGGCTTTCTTTGTGTTGTTTACAAATTGCCCACCATTTGTCTTGGTCAGTTTAATGTGCGTCTTCCCAACTTCATTAGCCTGGCCAAAAAAAGTTCTGGGAATGCGGCAAAGCAGCTCCTCTGGCCAGATTTACAGTTGGACACGCAACGCCCACGCCCCGACTGCTAAAGGCGCCTTCTGTGCTACAAATTTAGCTAGATGTTAGACTACTATACACAGTGTGTCTCTATTATCGAACTGTTTTCATAAATGAACCGCTTTCCATGCTGATAAATTCCAAATAAATCCAAAAGAGCATATTGCCTTTGTGACTTGAAATTTGGAACATATAATCGCGTCAGAAAGTGTGCAAAATATATTTAACATAATTAATTTATGTAATTCAAAATTTAACTTATCCTAGAACACGCACAAAATTGTCGAAAACTTTTATCAAAAATTGTACTTGAAATTTTCATGGCAGCTAGATTGTTAGAAACAGTTGACAATTTGCAAAATTGTAACCAAAATAGAAAAGATGTCAGACGTACATTTTGTGATGACATTAAAAAGGCATTAAAATGTGTCAAATTATGAATACAAGCATTAAATTTGGACTTCACGTGTAAATTAATTGTTAAGAGTTTTCACTGTACTGTCATTCTTAGTGGTTGTCCGCCCTGGCGAGCTTTCACTGTGTGTATATATAGCATCTTAGACCTAAACTTAAACCAAGTTTTACGGCGGGTTTCTTGCAGTCATGCCTCTGCGCTGCTCGGCTGTGCGGCTGCGGCTGCAGCTGCGGCGCGCAGACGTTTCAGCTCCTGCTGATGCTGCAGCGTTATCTCCAGAAATTTCAAATACTCAACATCCACTTGATCCACATCCTCATTGAACGCATCCCATTCCAAGTGCTCGTTCGGCTGCAGCTCCTGCTCTTCGTATGCCTCGTCCTCCTCCTCCTCTCCCTCGCTGAAGCTCTCGTCTTGCGCCGGCTCCATTTGTCCACGACAGACGCTGTGCACCTGCGCCTGATGCCACTGCAGCAGCGTCTTGTACGTGCTCCTCCAGATCTCGGCGGGCAGCCTAGGCGCGCCCACAGCAGCTGCGGCTGCGGCCGCCCCTTGTTTGTGTCGCTGATGTTTGCGTTTGCGCTGCTTACGTCGCTTCTTCTGCCTGCCCATTTCCATAGCTTTTCCTCTCCTTTTTACTTGGATATGTTATTTATTATGTGCTTCGCATTATTTTGTTTATTATTTTGTCGTTTTGCGCTGCATTTGTTGTCTATCGAAATTTAGTGCTTATCGTCACCATGTTGCCAGATGTCTGACAGACAACAGCTGTGCGTGACAGCGTTGCCAGCTGGGCAGCGCAGGTTAAACTTAACGAGAAGTGACACACAGATGGCGCTAGCCATGCCTTTTTTACATCAAACGACCGTTGAATTTTTCAAATAATTTTCTGTGTACAGTGTTCACTCGCGAACAATAACTTTTGCTTTGCCTGTTGTGACTAATACTCCCCGAAGTTTCTATATTTTTCGGTAGTCATATTAAGTATTATCTATATTGTGAATTTAAGAACTTTTTCCCTTATATTTAAAATCGGTTTCTTCTTTATCCTTAAACACTTTTAAGAGTTGCTCTGATTTCTGGGCAATACTTTTTTTAGAAATTTTCAGAAAAATAGGATGCGTAGGAAATTCATCTAAAACCTGAGGTCACCTAATCAATTGTATGCCCCATTATGGGAATTTTAATAAATACCTGTCGATGGTATAAATCTTTTCTACTATTAATAATCGAAACCAAGGATCGGAGTCACTATAAAAAGTTTTGCAACACTATTTTTCAAATGTTAAAATGTTATCAACTATGAACAATCGAAATCAACGAATGGAGCCCCTTTGGAACCTTTTGCAATACTATTGTACAGGTTATATGGGCAGGTTGACCATTTTGACGAACCCCTTTGCCAGCTGAGCAGCTTGCTCGGCCGACTGACTTCAATTTTGAAGCCGAAGGCCTGCGCGGAAAGGCAAAGATTGTTGTGCTGTTCTTTTAAATTCAAATCCTCAGCCCTCGGCCGTGCTCTGTGACTGGCCTGCGCTGGGCTCGAAGGAGTTGCGACTGCGTTCGTAGTTTTGGCCTGGGATTAGGGCGGATCAATTTGCTTGTGGTGCGAATGCAAATTGGCCAGCGGTATGATTTAAATGAGGCTCAGCACAAGCGTTCCAACAAAAGGCGGAAGCGGCCGATTGAGTGCATCCTGCTGTGTGCACTCGGCCGGCCGGAACAACAAATGTCCTTTTTTTTTTGCTCCTGCGACCGTCGTTCTGGATGAGCTTTGCTTCGCCGGGCGCAGGTCGACCGCACGGCAACATGCTATAAAGGAAAATTAGGTTTACACCTACTTTTCCAATATGCTCATAAAACAATTTAGAGATTTACAAGGGATCAACTTATATGTGGTCCAGCATAGAGTTTCTCTTTCCCTCTCTCTCCCTCTCCCTCTCGTTGCCTGCCTTCCGCTCTATATTTCTGTGAGTTTGAGGGTGTGGGTGTGTGTGTTTGTGTGTGGCAAGGCGCGTGGACGCGGCCGTAAAAAGCAATCCTCAATCCTCCTCAACTACTCACACGAGCTACTCAGAGCCTTGGCACTCCACTCATGTTGACTTTGGCAGCTTGTGGGCGGTGTGGGGCGAGCTTTTTCATTTTCGATGAAGTAATATGCGCTGATAATATGAGAAAAATATCCTGCGGCCAGGATTTGCACGCACTTATTCCCTTTTAATGGACTCCGCCTGATATTTTGGGCCAATTTTTTCTGCGCATATTTTTTGCATATTTTTATCACATATATTTGCCAGCTCCGGCGGATAATGCCCCACTTTTTTTTCTCGTTTTTTTTTTTTTCGTTAGCGATTGCCAACACTGATGCCACTGCTCGGACGCTTTTAAGGCTTTACACTAGCATTCTGAGCTTGGCAATACGAAAATTGGGCTTTACTCAACTTGCATATTGATCTTGTTGTAGTACAGTCAGTGAAAAGGCAATGCAAGTGTGGTTATTGTGCGTTTGCCAACACTGCTCTCCCGTAAAGGGCACCCTTTGCATAGGAATGCGGCTAAATGGACGTTTTTGTAGATTAAGCTTCACAAAGCTCAAAAACTGAGGATATTCATCAACTAATGATCTACTCTATATATTATTCTGTACTTTCCAACACTCATGTTCCGCGTCAAGTGCATTTTGGGCTCTACATATTCGAACTCTCGAAAAGGTCGTCTGTTACGGTAAAGCTCCAATACATAATATTAAACTTTTTCTATGCGTTGACCAACACTTAAATCCCTGCTTGGGTGCCTTTTAGGCCCTTGAACCTCGAAATGGCACAGCCTAGTGGGTATCCTCACAACTTTAGCTGTATTACCCAACACATGACACCCCACCTGACTTTTCATGCGTTAGCCAACACTTAAGTCATTAATAGGGCGCCGTTCCAGCGCTAAAATCTAGAAATAGCTTGCTAAGTGGGAACCCTCATATCTTTTTCTTTAGTATCCAACACATAACACCCCACTTTATTTGCCATGCATTAACCAACACTAAAGTCCTTGCTCGGGCGCTTGCCACGCCTTACATGCAACTGGTTTCGGGCGTGGCAAAATGACAATTTGCCTTCACAAAGGGGTTTGCAAATTGATCTAGTCCGCGGCCAAGCAGCAGGTACAAGCTGGTGGGATTATAATTCTTGAGCATGGGATGAGCCGCAGCTTGGCCCAGACTAGCCAAAAGATAGGCAAAAAAAAGGGTAGAGTGGCAGAGTTGGGCTAGGGGTAGGCAAGTTAGTAACTCTCATTACTTTAAATGGATTTCAATTAAGTTGCAAATTGATCTCAAAACAATTGAGTCCCGTCGAGGCGTTTGAGTGCACTCAGTTTGTGCTTTAACCACGCGTCCTAAGCCAAACCGAGCGGCAATCCGAGCAGCGCGTAGGACACAACAGACAATGGGACAAAGGGCTGCTGCTGCTGCTGTTGCTGATCCACTTGGTGGTTGTAGGCGGGAAACTGTTTTGCTCTTTTCATTCAGCTTGGCTGTAAGCGATACGCGACCAGAAGCAGCTGCCAATTGCTGGGGCCGGGCAAACCCCCAACCCCAAACTCGGGCCGAATGACTGGCAGTTTTCCCAGCCGCGGCAGCCAAGTGCCGTTTGTCTCTGGCGTTGACAGGATAACGAGATTTTCAAGTGGCCGCGCCGCTGCACCACTTCACACCACGCACCACACACCCTTTCATTTTATCGTTCTTCATTTGCCTGCAGAAGCTGAAGTGTTTCGGGCACATCTGCGGTTCGGGCCTTGGTCCAGCTCCAATCTAACGGAGGCTCAACTAATCTGCGCCGGTGCTTAAGGATTTTTCTCGCAATTAGTTGCAGGAAATTGGCAAAAAATAAAAAGAAAAGGCAGCGCAGCGCACAAAAAACGCAACTGAAGCGATTTTCCAAGGACTTAGCAGGATCGCCAGCATCGACAGCAACAACAATGGCAACAGCAATCAAATGCGCATCAGCAAACAGCACAAAGTGCCAGCCAGGAGCCAGAAGAAGCCGCCGTGTGAAGAGAGAGCCGAGCAGCATTGCTCCCTACCCCTACCCCTGCCCCTGCCCCTGCCCCTACCCCTGCCCCTCTCCATAGCCTATGTGTTGCGGCTGGAACAGGGCTTATCCCGGCTGAGCCTTGTTGCGATTTGAACGGTCAATTGAAAAGCGACCAGAAAAACGATCTCGCATTCATAATGGGAAAACGACAAAAAAAAAAATAGAAGAAGAAGAAGTAAATGCATCAACTGCAGCCGAGCAACTGGCCCAGAACAGCAGCTCGGTAGCTGCCATTGTTTTGCCATTGTTTTTTATGGCCAACGCGGCAAATAGAGGCAACAAAACAGAACACGGCATAACAAGCAAAACAACACGAAGCGAGAGAAAGAGAGAGAAAGAAAGAGAGAGGGGAGAGAGAGAGAGAGATGAAGTGAAAGAGAGTTTAGCTTAAAGTAGACTCCGACATTTGTAACAAGAAAGCGAAAGAGCTATAAACCAGAATGCTCGACTAGAAGATATCCTCTACTCAGCTGCGAGCTCCTCTTACAAATATTCTAGCTTCCTTCTATATATATATACACTCACACACACACACACAAGCACGCTTTATGCAGTGATTGTGCTTCTTCTACCCTAACCCCATTTTCTGGAATATACGTTCTTGAATTACTCGAGTTTTAATTGTCAAATTTTTATAAATTTTGCGGGGCATCAATATAGCATTAAAACGTGTACAAATACCAAAGCCCAATACTATGCCTTACTAAACTTGTCTCGTTACTGTCTAATCTTTATAACATTTTCACAACATTAAAATTGCACTAAAATATGTGTAAATATTAAATCCCAAGCCTATGCCTCCAAAAATTCCTGAATAACTTTGGTTGTTATTGTTCGATTCTTGTAACATTTTCAAGAATTCAAAATTTAGTGATTCATGCTAAAAGCATCTTAAAAGTAACTTAATCTGGATTTGTTTTTACTAGAAATATCCGGTAATCCGTCTCTTTAGCTCTTGAAAATGTCGATATATAACCATAAAATGGACTATCGATATAAATTTTAATCGATTTTGTGGAAATGAAGTGAGTTTTCGATGCTTTAAATCAAACTCGATCTTTTTGTGCCACAACAGGATCTACATTAAGGATTCCAGGTCTCTAGCTTTTATAGTCCCCGAGATTATCGCGTATATGAATACGGACAAACATTTGCAACATGGCTCAATCGATTCGCCTGTTGATGCTGAACTGGAATGTATATGCTTCATGGGGTCCTTCTCCTGTGGCACACAAAAACATTATACCCTTTTTGAAACATTTCATTTCCAATAGGCTCAGGGCATAAATAGAGGACCTAGACTCCGACAATTGTAAAAACAAACACACGCCGCGTGTCTTGCGAGGAGCTGCTGCATGCCCCAAACTGTGGCAACTGCGGCTCGGGCTCTGTTTTCCCTGGCATCTTTTGCAAGCCTTTTTCTCGTTTGTCTGTTTGTCTATTTGTCTGCTTGCTTGTTTGTTTGTTTGTTTGCGTGTCCCAGTGTAAAAAGTGGAATACTGTTTGGCTTTGGCTGCCTTGGACAAAAGGTGCGTAGCACTCGATACACCCCAAACAATGCCCCATTCCTGTGGTTAAGGCAAATACCAGACCGTAAGAAAAAAAACTGAAACTCCGCAGAGCGGGCCACACGCAG